TTCGAGAGTTGTCATAGGATGGCAATTTTAGTTGAAATAGAGAGGATGTTGGTGGGATTGTCATGCAGTGGAGTTTTTGGGAGAGTTAATCAAAGTAAGTCAGTAATGTCACTTGCATAAAAGAGTCACTGATACTCGTTTATACCTTTTCCTCTTTTTTTTTTGTCCCATGATTTACAAGGTAGTGATGAACAGATTGACCTAGAGCAGTGGTTCTGATACTTTTAAGTCCTCTTAAGAAGCTGATGAAAGCTATGGATCCCCTTTCCTAGAATTATTTACATATGGCTGGTGTGTTGAAGTGGAGGGAAGTCTAGACCCCAGTTTTAGATGTAGACAATATTGTATTATTAATTGCAGTGTAGTTGGTGGCAGTTGAGGGGAAAATATGAGTGGTTCAGCTGTTTGTTGACATGAGAATATAATATTTCAGGACTTAATTTGTTTGTTATAATTATTTACAGTTGAATATATATCCATCTATTTCTTTGTAGATTAGTATAGATTATTGTTGATGTTAGAATAGTGTAAAATTCTCTGGTCTTTAATCTACTCTCCTGAGCCGTGTCTCATGCCTTCACATATTTTCTTATTATTATTATCAAATGCTTTTTGTTTATATTTATTGATAATAAGCAATTAGAAGCATTTTTGGGCTGTATTTCTGTCAGCCAAGCCATTACTCTTTCTGTTACTGAATTTCTCACTTCTTCAACATTAATTCTTCCCATTACACTCAGCCCCTGGATTCATGGAACTTAGTTTTGCAGAATTATTGGCGACGACTCTCTACATTGGCTTATCATTTTTTGCTAACCAAAACTAAAATGAAAAAGAAGAAAAAAAAGTTTTCCAATTTTCCTTCATTTATTTCCAATGCTCACCAGATGAGATTTGTATCAGTAGAAATATTCCAACTATCCAATAGGCTTTTGTCATGTTAGGTGCACATACTGAAGGTTCAGGGGAGTAATGAGTATTGCTGTTAACTGTATTTTTCAACTGGTCTAGAGCATCAGGACAATGTGAATGGGTAAGGGGGATTGTGATAGATGTTTTGTTGAGAAGGAGGAGGAGCTAATGAATACCAAAATGTATTATTATGGGGTTCTATTGTAATGAGGTAGACTGCATGCCTTTTTGTTTTCTCTCCCATTCATGATATTGTGATTCATTCTGACAATAGCACATGTCCGCAGATCTCTTCAAGTGTGGGAGCAGACAGGGAAACGGCACAGCGAGGTCCTCCGAGAACAGCAGGGGCAGAAAGGCGGGTCCAAACTCGGGGGTGCCCTGCGCTACCCTAGTACTGTCATCCTGTGGGTTACGTGCGATCAGGTAATCATGCAGGGCTAATTCATTGCTGCTGTCTGTATTTCAGTTTTGAATGAAATTTTTAATCTGAGAGAATTGCTGAAGATATACCTTACTTGGGAATATTAGATGACTATTGTGTGTAATATGAGAATTTTTTTCTTTCTTTTGTCATACCTCTTTATTTTTTTGCATTTGTTGCTATTACACTTGAGCATAATAAGTAAATCTTCAGGAAATGTTTTTAAACATACGGAACTGATAAGTATTCAAGTTATTCATATCCTTTCAGTCTTCTTTACATCATTTCGTTGAAGTCTGTACTCATTCTCCTCCTCCCAACAGGATGTCCTGGACCAGCGACTAGACAGACGAGTAGATGACATGATAGAACGCGGCCTCCTGCAGGAGCTCAAGGACTTTCACGCTGACTACAACAGGCAGCGGCTGAAGGAGGGGCAGCTGGCTGATTACACCAAGGGCATTTTTCAGAGCATTGGCTTCAAGGAGTTCCACCAGTATCTTGTGCTGTCTGAAGAGGAGCAGCAGACTGAGGCTGGCAAGAAGTTGTATAAAGCAGGAGTTACGTCACTAAAGCAGGTGGGGTCTTTTGTCTCTCTCCCTCTCCTTACTCCTCTGCTTCTTATTATTATCATTATTATTTTTCCTTTTCCTCTTCCTCTTCTCTGCTCCCTTCTCTTTGTCAGTCTCCTCCTTTCTCTTTGTCAGTCTCCTCCCCTTCTTTTGTCAGTCTCCTGTCAGTCTCCTTTCTCTTTGTCAGTCTCCTCCTCCTTCTCTTTCAGTCTCAGTCTCTCTCCCCCTTCTCTTTGTCAGTCTCCTCCCCCTTCTCTTTGTCAGTCTCCTCCCCCTTCTCTTTGTCAGTCTCCTCCCCCTTCTCTTTGTCAGTCTCCTCCTCTCTCTTTGTCAGTCTCCTCCTCCTTCTCTTTCTCTGTCTCCCCCTCTTTTGTCAGTCTCCTCCTGGTCTCTGTCTCTCCCTTCTCTTTGTCAGTCTCCTCTTCCTTCTCTTTCTCTGTCTCCTTCTCTTTGTTAGTCTCTCCCTCCTCCTCCTCTTCTTGAACCTCCTCTCTCTCCTCCACCCTTAACACCTCCATCCTATTGTTTTAAATACAGAAAGATTGTTTTTGGTTATATGTTTTGGCACTGATGTTAGGAATTAATTAATCTCTTTTCTATATAATGTTAATTTTCTCCCATTTTGTTTCTCAGGTGACAAGACGGTATTCAAGAAGGCAACTGAAATGGATCAAGCACCGGTTTCTTCTCCCAGCTGACCGTCAGGTATGAAATAGTACAGTCCATGCTTGAGTATTCTATAAACCACTTTTTTTTTTATTTATTATTTTTTTTTTGTGATCCTAAATTGATATTTATAATTTTGCCCTGGTCAGGCTGGGTGGCATCTTTATTTCCATGATGCACCAAGCCCATATGTCGGTTAGCAAGTATCTATGCCACACATGGTCAAGCCAGGTCTCTTTGTGTAGGCTAAAGAGCTTTTTGCTTATTTGGCTGTGACTACAATCATTGAGAAGGCACAGCCCAGCAAAGTGGCTCATGTTTCTTCGTAGTCACGTGTACTTATGTATGAGAGGCTCTGGATGCTAAACATGGAATATGCAATAAGTTTGATGGATTATTGAATGAACTGTATGTGGTACATTGTTTAAGAATAATAGTACAACTCAGGTATACTTCTTGGCAGGAAGAAACTATAAACATACTAAGATTCCATTATTAGTCCTAAAGAGAATGTTATTATATGAATTGAAAAGAAAAAGTATGGATCATGTATTCATTCATGCACAGTGTGCTACTGAAACAGAAAATCACACTCATTCTCATGTCTGAAGTTGGTGTCTCTCTCCCTTGTCTTATGATGTAGGATTAATTTATCTTAATGTTGCTTTTTTTCCTAATTCATTGTGAAGAAAGTTTCCAGGTACTTTTATACTTGCTGCGATTGTTTGGATTTGTTATATCACATCTAGGTTCATACTAAATTACATATGTGGGACGGGTGTCCCACATATGAGACACCCGAAAAAATAAACATTGCCGGGCGCCCTGCCTCTGTGATGCTATATCGGGGCACGCACTCTGATGCAGCAGCAGGCCGCAGCTGGGGAGTGCGCAAAGTCTGGGCTAGCCTTGCGCGCTGATCTTGTAGCTGCCCTGAATCTTTTATTTTCAGCTTCAAAATATGCTGGCGGTAATGGGTTAATATGCAGACAGTTTTATACTTGTTGCGATTGTTTCATATTTAAGTTCGTACCAAATTACTTTAATATGCTGACAATTTTACTTGTTGCTTGTTTCATATTAAGTTCGTACCAAATTACTTTAATATGCTGACAATTTTATAGTTGTTGCTATTGTTTCATGTTTAAGTTCGTACCAAATTACTTTAATATGCTGACAATTTTGCTAAATATATAAGGCTAGTGCTCCATTAATTTAGCAGTCAGTGTGTGTTCTCTTTGTAGGCCTATAGAGAAAGTGGAGGAGTGGTGTTGAACAGAATTTTACATCACTTGAATCATATCGAGAACTTCACAAAATATATATATATAGGCTTACCACAGTAAACATTTTCCCCTAGTCAGTAAGGGTATTCATGCGATTGTAAACCCCTTGGATTTAATTGCTTCACAGCTGTAACATGCACCAAAATCAGGCATTAGGCTTATGTGTGTGCATTTTTTTTGTATTATTTTTTAAATATTCTGTTTTCTGTAACACTACCCGTGGTGCCACACAGCAGGGAGCAATAGGATGCAGAGCATAGAAATTACGTCCTCCCTGTAGCCGGTGCTCTTTCTGTTACGACTCATTGACATTATAGACCACGGTTTGATCGATATGAATAAAGCAATAGCCCTTTTCTAAATGCCAAAGGAGTCGAATCAACCTCCAAGAGGTTTGTGCACTCATGACGTCTTTTCTGTCACCCTGGCCTTTGCTTATGAAGAGAAATTCACATCACCTGCTCCTCAAGCCAAATTTCTTCATGTCGTGATGGTCATGTAATCTAGATCGAAGGGGTTCAGAAATAGACTCTTCAGTCATTTACTGAATCTGGTGCACTTTTTTGCTCCCTTTTTAGAATTTTAGTGAGAAAGTAAAAAGTTTATATACTTATGCAAATTCATGGATTTTGAAAAGTTTGCTTTTAGAAAAATAAATTTAAGAATGTATATTAATTTATTATAACAGAAATTACACCTCAACTCATCATGAGAGCCAGAATGAAGCCATTATTTGAAGAATCAAGAAAGTTGAAAACTTTCAACTCCAGTAGACAAGTTGCATTTGTTATACTAATTGGAAATTAGTCTGTTGTTTTTGAAAATAGGTCTTGATTTTAATTTTTTGTACCAATTGAATTCATATTTAGTAATCTGCATTACTTGAAGCCTGCGTGTGACTTATAATCCACTTAGACGGTCTCTTTTACTTTTCTTCACGTAAATTCTTGCTTGAAGTATATGAAAAGCAACTCTTGCTCAACATTTAATCTTATTTTTGTTTGTGTTTCACTGTACTTTTGCTTTGTATCCCATATTAGTAGATAGAAACCATACCATCTACAAAATACATTTAGCAATTTAAATGGCCACACTTGATTTAGTCTCTCTTCCCTTCTTCAGACATCCATTCAAACCGGGTGCCTTACCAGACTCTGTGCCTGGGAAGCCCCTCTGTCTCCTTTCCTTTAAACAGTGCCTCATTTCCCCTGCCCGACACTGGCATTTAGATCCCCTCATCACCACGGCAGTATCATGTTCCTTAAAACTACTGTGAAACTATTCCCAAAATAGCTTTGGGGAAAATGTCAGTGGTGTTTGATGTGGGAGTTTTATTTATAAAATCACAGAATATATACTCTTCAAGAGAGAGGTGTTATCTTTATTTATAAAGATTGTAGAGATTAACTGAGTTGAAAAGAAAATGGAAATTCACCTCACTTTTTTTCTCCAGGTTCCACCTGTCTTCGCCCTAGATGGCTCTGACCCAAGCAAGTGGGACGAGCAAGTGCGGCTCCCGGCAGAGGGTGTTGTGCAAGCGCTAGCAGAGGGAAGACAGCCAGAACTCGAGACTGCCAATATGGTTAAAGATGAAGAGGAAGTCCATCGAGGTAAATGGAAGATGATCCAGTGTGGAAGATATTATCTTAACCCTTTGATACCAGACTATCTACTGTGGGCTTGTTTTATTTTATCTTCAGTGCTTAGTCACCAAGCAAGTCAATTACAAGCCTGCCGTCAATATCACCACTGCCACTACCCCCACTACTACTATCACCACTACCACTACTTCTACTACTATTAATATTACTAATAAATTTATAATAGTAATAGTGGTGAGGATTGTATTAACAATAATAATGCTTGTTAAGGATAATCATAATTATAGATATGATAATGTTGATGAAAGTAATAGCTATTTTTTCTTTTTACCCCACTGATGGTTAAGGGTAAATATGAGTTGACTCCTTGGTAATTTCGTGCTTATCCAGCCCTTTGAGTGAAAGAAAAGTAATAAAATATAGCTGTAGTAGACAGTACATTTTCCTGGCACCAGTGGATTAAGTGAAGTTCAGTCTGAAATTGAGATTGGGAGTGGTGTAAGATCCAGAAGTTGAATATGATAGAAGATGAACTCATATTTAGGGAGGAAGATATTCAGTTGAATTTAATGTAGACTGGTTAAATGTGTCAAAGAGTTGGATTTTTAAGCATTCCAATTCTGCTGCGTTGGAGCACATGCCCTGAAACAGTGTCACACTGGCGGGATGCCCGGCAATGTTTATTTTTTCGGGTATCTCATATGTGGGACACTTGTTGTTACTGGTTTAAGATATGGGCTGTAAATAATTCAGTTATATAGGTTGATGCACTTATAAGAAAAAAAAAAGTCAAAGTTACATGGATTTCTAAGTAGAGAATTCTTGATATTGAACTGTAACCCAAGTTCATTAGGGTTGAATTTGGTTGTGTTTACATCCCCAGTGCATTGTTGCTTTCCACAGCCATTCCAATGATTATTTGAAACATATGTTGTATCAGGATTTTGGATGTCTCAAAAATTTTATCAATCCATTGATATCTGAAGTGGTCTCCTCTGCCCATTTATAAAGCATAGAGGGTTAGTGATGATTATTTTGGTTATTAATCTTTCATAGTGGGCAAAAATTTGTCTAGGTGTAACTCACATTTGGGAATATTGATTGAATGTACTTTAATAACAGAATGGAGAAAAATGCTGAAGTTTTGGAGCATTCAAAATTTCAGAGCTGCCAAATGAAATTGAGTGATTTTTTAAATGTGGCTAAGTGTAAAAGGTTGATGTTAATGTAATCACTAAATGCTTGTGAATAATTGAAATAATAGACATGGTCCACCATATGTCATTAGGGATCATTGTATTGCAAATGGTAGTAATTAAAGAATGATGGAAAGGAACCACTTTAAAGCCTAGAAAAAATGATTAAGAAACGAAGGGAAAGATATCATCCATAAATATTTATTCATAATAACAACTGTATTCATAGGTCATTGTCCAGATCCTCCTCTTGGTCTTCATGCTGCGAGATGATTGATGGCATAGTTAGTGTGAAATGTTTGGGTGCACTGCTGTGATATTTCTTTAGAAAAGGGGAATTTAAACCTCTTTGCTAGATGCTGTGGTTACATAACAAAAGCCCTCCTATTGTGTTAACAAATGGAGAATATGTTGATGTACCTTACTCAAAACTAGCATATATAGTGGAAATTGAGATCTGTTAATAAGCTCCTCACAGGATCTGCCATATCCTACACTGTAAAGATTTGTGAGGAATGTTCAAAGCAAGATTAGAATTAGTGTAAAATGTGAACTTCATTGCATGTAATGACTTAAGGGGTTGGTATGGGGGTTATGCAAAGTTGCATCTGAAAAGGTTTTTTTTTATGGTAGCAATAACCTTTGCTATATTTTCAAGCATCTTCATAGCTGTTATGAAATTGGTTTAAATGTTTGGAACTAGTGAAAGGTTTTGTGATATTTCTTTTTTGACCCTGGCTAATTCATTGCTTATGGTAACATGTACATAAATACCAATGCATGATTGGATTCTTTTCTGGGTGGTATGTACCTTCATGTCACACACAGTGAACCTGCTCTAAGTTGTGTGTGCAAAAGAGTTGCTCTCATTTGGCCAATACTGTAGCCATTAAAGTCTCTCTTGATCCTTATTTCCTGAAAAATTGTGGTGGCTGTAGCCAAAATTGCTTCCTAAACTTAAATCCTTTTCCCCTCATGAATGGGTGACCATACACACTCATTGACTGACACTGAGTTGAAGATAGATGGAAGATGTAATTTTTGTGACTATTCTTTTTATACATTTGGATATATTTTATTTTTAATAGTAAATAGGCCTATAAAATAACTTTCTTTGCCCATGTAATATAAAATAAAATATTTTGTGCATATTTATCCAAAAATAAGCCTAAATTTTGCAGTCATGATAATATTGTTCAATTTATGCATTAGTTACTTGGGAATGTGTGATGATAATAGATTTTTATTGATCTCGCCTAATATTTTACAAAGTAGTAAATTGACATAGTCGGCCTGACTGTATCTGTTTAGGAGATATGTATATATTTTTTTCTATTACTGTAAAAAATGTATAATGTAGAATTTTTCCGCATACTCATTGCATGTGTTGTATTTCCTTCTGAAAAGATTGTATTACCAAGGCCTCTGTTTTTTTGCAGGTGACAAAACGCGATATGAATGTGATGTCTGCGAGCGTGTCGTGATTGGAAAGATCCAGTGGCGGGCTCACGTACGTGGCGCAAAACACAAGAAGATGCAGAAAAGACAAACACTCCTCCAGAAAAATGACAAGAAAGAAATGAATGTATGAAAAGATATTTTAAAACAATGCATTTGCTTGTGAAAAAATGGCTATTTTATATCTAGTCATTCTCATTGGTACAAAAACAACATAATTAGCAAATTCAAGCTATTATGTATTGGAAGAGAGATATACATTTATGTATAAAAAGTCTTAACCATTTTCCATGGTGTTTTATTACTTTAGCCTGTACTAAACAACACTGTGATATCAATTTGATATTTTCACTAAACGATAGTAAGGTTCATTTTTTTATTGGCTTGGGGAAGAACTGTCAGTTATTCATTTATTTATTTTCAGAATGACAGATCATTGCCCAAATTAAGAATTATACACAAACACAGTGTATTTACTCAATGTTCAATGTTGCGGGATCCTGATATGCAGCGGTCGGAATCGGCAAAAGGAGAAAAATGGTGATAAGATCAGTTTCAGGAAAAATGTCAGGAGGGAGAGAATCCAGGGAAGGGGGTTATTGTGAAGCAGGGAATGGGATGTTTTGGGAGGGAGGGGGATGAAGGGGTGTCGGGGGGAACACGAGTAGGAGGAGGATGAACGTCGGCAGTTACTTGTAAGTGTAGGAATGTGAGCAGAGATTTTGAAGGATGGCTGAAGCATAGGCATGTTATTTTTGGTTATGATTAGTTTTAAATGTCTTTGAGGGCTTCTGAAGTGGAGTTGGTTGGAGAGGCCTGAGAAATAAAGGTTTTCGTATGAGGGGGAGAAGAGGGGCAGATTAATGGAGGAGAGGATGCAGTAGGAGGAAGGTGGGATGGAATGTTTATCTTGTCTTGTGTGAAGAGTTGGGTGAGGAGGAAGAGGGGTAGTAGAAATTGGAGTGTCTAGAAAAGTGGTGTAGATTGGGGTGTCTGGATTTAGAATGGCAAAAGATTTTGACTGGGCGAGGAAGGCAGAAGTAGGATTGAGGAAGAGTTATTGGGGAAGATGTAAAAACATCTAGGGAGGAAGGGATAGGAGCAGAGAAGTGCAGCATCAGAGTAGAGTAAGAGAGAAACCTTGTCTGTGTGCTTCATGTCTGGCCTTCCATAAAGTGAGGCCAAGTTTGAATCTGAGAACTGCCACCTCAGCCTCAAAATATAAAATTTGTTATGGATGCCACCACAGTTGCACAACTGGCATGTGTGTGATTGTGTAAAGTAGTCTGATCGATCATGAACAGGTCAGGCGCACAGTCGGCATTGAGCTGTACAGCGGCAGTATTTGGCAGGGTGGTGTAGACACCAACAATCTGACAATGATGGGGGAGGTTGTTATAGTCAGATAGTGGGACTCTCTGCCAATATGAACATTAAAGTAATCTGGCAATATTTGTGTATAACTTTTGGCAGCCTCTAGGGGAATGGTGTAGCATTGTACTGATACTGTATCATTGTCCATGTGGTAGGTCTTCTCCATAAACTGTAGAAAGAGCTAGTACTGTAGAGAGATGCACAATAAGGCAGCACGATGGTGGGAGAGGAGAAATGTTTTTTTGGAGGCTGAGTAATGGTGGATGATCTGGACTGGAGTGACATGACCAGTAGGTATTGATGAGGGGGTAGTAGTAGCAGCAATATTTAGAGTCGTGGTCAAAGAAGAGCCTAGGGTCAGTTAAACAGGAGAATTTAACTCTGGGCTACTTGATAAAGGGACAAGCCTCAATGCTCCTAATAAGGATGCAAAATCTTCATTACTGGCCATGGTAAGCATGGATTATGTTGGGGAGAGAAACAGCACACTCCTTAGGGTCCCCTTGAGAGGTAAGGGCTATTTTCATTATTCATTGTAAATTTTCTGCTGTATGAACATTACGGTCATTAGTGACGTATACAAAATTTAGGCCCAATGTGGGGGATTAACCCTGCCATACTAACTAATTTTACCAGAGTACTTTATCATACTGCTACATGACCTTTCGTTATCTGGGGTTTCCCCCAAGCCTCAACCTATTGCTATACTTTGAATACACTGCTAATGACCTTAGATGTTGACACAACAGAAAATTTTCAATATATAAATAATAAACTAAACATAGGAATATTGCATCCATGGTTCCCCAAGACCGTCCATTTCTGGCACAAAGTCCGCCTTTCTCACTCCTTAGGAAGCGGATAGTATAGAGGAAAGAAGGAAAAAAGAAGAAAAGATTGCAAAATTAGTTGTCAAGGGTTGAGGCCCAAGGCAGGGGTGATCCCTAGCACTGAGTCCCAGTGCTAAACCCCCCACGACAATGGGCATTGGATTGAGGGGGATAACAAAGAGAAGATGGCAACTTTTCCCTCCCTCTTTGATGCATGGTTTTCACCTAATTTGTGTCACTCTTGGATTTGCTAGCCTTATTATTGGTTTGAGGAAGGCATTAATGCTATAAACATTTGGGAAAATATTACACAAGAAAACTGGACACCAAACCAATGAAATGGAAGTGATGACCAGCAAGTCGGGAGCAAACAATGTTATCATGAAACATGGAGTGGCCTAATCTTGCAACTCTCCTTGTGCCATAAAGAAAAATAAGCTCATATAAAGTGTGCACATCAGTTAGGTGCTGCTTCAAAAGCGTCAGTTTATGCTAACTGCTGTGTCGTTCAGAAACAGGATGAAACACTAATCACCACCACCTTCCTCTTAGTTTGGTGGCCTGCTTCCTTCAGCCCAATTGTTTGGTGTTCATTTCTTTCTTAAACATGTAAGGAGATATCTAATGCAAAAAAAGCAACACGGGAAGCTCGAAACATTGCACCATGGAGGAAAAAGCTTGTCCTTCTGTTGTCATGCTCAAATCAAAAGGAATTAATGGACTTTTGCCTTGCAAAGCCTGTTGTTATTGTGGGGGGGCTTTGGAGACGAGAACACGAGAACCCAATGCTGGGGATCTCCCCTACCTTGGGCCTCAGCCCTTGACTCAACTAATTTTGCATGATCTTTACCCCCTCATGCTTTTTCTTTCTGTCCCTTCTCCAACCCCTTCCACTGTCCACTTCCTAAAGTGTGAGAGCCGTGCTGAAAGGACGAAGGGCTGACTTTGTGCCAGTCTTGAATGGCCTAAGGGAGCCATGGGCACGGTATTCCCGTTTTAGCTGTCTAGCCCTTACCCTTCAAAGGGATCGAGGGGCAGACTGTTTCTTTCCTCGACGTAGTCTAGGCTTACCATGGCCAATAATGGAGACATTATACCCTTGTTAAGGGCAATGAGGCTTGACCCCTTCATGAAATAGCCCCACCAATTCAAACTCTCCTAGGTCCCTGACCCCAGGCTCTCCTTTGACCACGACTCTGAAAACTGCAACTATTACTCACTCCTCAATGCCTACTAGTACATTACCCCATCCAAGTCAAAACTCAATCTCCACGAGACATTCCTACTCTCCCAACTTCCTGAACTTTATCACCTCTACCCCCACTACCTACTTCATCAATCCCCCCATCCTCCCTTACTACTACTTTACAACCTTATTCTCCACCTCTCCGTAATACTACATCCCTCAACAATGCTCCCTTTTCCACACATCCCCGTCCATCTACCACCTCCATCTCTACAAATATCTTAAATACTCTATTTAGCACAGCCAAATGGGACCATTTTTTGTGATCCCTCCCACAGCTCCTTACTCTGACAACACTTTCCTCTTTCAACAATGTCTCCAAAAGCAAGTACGCAAAGTCTCTTTCTGTAACCGACTCGATTGTTCCCATCTTGTCACAGTTACATCTGGAACCCAAGCTATGGCATTATCAACTCCAACTGATTTCTTTGGCAACCTCATCCAACCCTCAGTACTTGTACCAGAACTGCCCTATCTTTAACAAATATTGGTCAGATTTTGGAGAAGCCTTACTCGCCTGCTTCACAGACTATGATGTACTATCAGTGCAGTGCTACTCTATTCCACCTAGAGGTCATTGTAAGAACCCCACCAACATTGCCAAAATTACTTTCCGTAGCCATGACCTTCCCTTTAATGTTTACATTGGTGGAGAATCCGTCTCTGTCCAACTATATCAACCTCCTCCCCATCAATGTCAAAACGGTTGGTGTTTAGGACCTCCTGCCAAACACTTCTGTTCCACAGCCTGATGCCCTCTATGTGCCCAACCTGGTCATAACCAATCAAACTGCTCTGCACAGTCACACATATGTGCAAACTGTGGTGGCCCCCATAATGTATTTTATAGGGGCTGTACCCTACAAGTTTAAGTCTGAGGTGGTAACTCACAGATACAGACTTGGTCTCACTCTTCATGAAGCCAACTGGAAGCACGTTGAAGGGTTTTTCATACTCCCTACTACAGTAATGTCACTCGCTCTGCCCCTCCCCCTGCCTCCCAAGATGTTCCTACACACTTCCCTATACCTATCCCTTCTACATCTTACTTCCCCAGTCAAATTAATATTGCCACTCTTGATCCAGACACTCCAATCTGTACTGTAGCCCTAACACCTTCCCCTCTGCCTGCCCGCACAATCTGCAGCAGACAGGCTTAACATCCCACCCCTTCTCCTACCACACACCCCTTCCTCCTACTCCCTCCCAACACAGCCCATCACCCCCAGCTCCAACTACACCCACATTAACCCTCTCTCCATCCCCTCTATCCCTTCCACTCTCACTTTGATACACATGTGAATCCATCATGTCACAACTATGCCCTTTCCCAGATCCTCCATCTCTTGATAACCCTCCTGATACTACACCACCACCCTCCTCAATTCTTAACTCACCCCTAGCTCCTTACCCTTCAAAATCTCCACTATTATCACTCGAAGATCAACTAAGTAATAGCTCCCCTTCATTGGAATATTCGTGGTTTCTGTTCTCACAGACCTGACTTTCATCATATCCTTTCTTTTTCAAACTCCTGTCTGATGTCATGTTCTGATCTGCTCCTATGTCCCCTATGCAGTGTCCCTCTTTCAGTTCCACACATTCTGTTGTCCTGTACATGCTTTGCTACAGCCCTCACCTCTGCTTTCCCCCATCTATCCTCAATTCATCGACCTCCCAACCTATCAGACATCCTTATAGAATCCCACCCTTTCTGCTTTGACGACCTGTTCTCCTTCCTCATACGCATACATATCCTTCAATCGATCTAACCCCCTTACCTAACCCCACCATAACTCATTCACTCATCAACTCCTTTACCCATCTTTAACCCTTTC